CATTGGAAGTTAGAGTAGGAGTATGATTCAACATTGCACTTTGTATATTACTTAGTGAATATTATGTGCCAATGGTAGATTGTTATGATTTATTGTTTGACTTAAACCCTTAAATATAACAAATCATGATGATTAAATAACATTAAATATATCCTAGTTAAGTCATTATTAACCAATATAAATATAAATACTTACATTAGGCATATATTTAAGTGTTATATCATGCAATGAATTTTGGTATTCCTTGTTATTGGACAAATGTATTTAGTGGGTTGGATTTGAGTATTTCTTGCTATTAGACAGAGAAAGAAAAATTGAAAATAAACAATATCAATTCAAGATTATTTGAGAAATAAGAACATTTATACAAAAACATAATTGTAACTATTAACTGTATTTTATTATATTTCTGAAATATTTTTACAAGATCTCTTATTATGGCCTTTCTGTTCACATTTTGAATATGACATTGTGAATCCTATTTTCTTAACATTGGCATTTGTGGTTCTTACTTCATTAGTTTTTTTTTTTTTTTTTTCGCTTAGTCTTAGGTTTGCCAAGTTGTTCATTTGCACCTATAGAAGTTTTGGCTTGTAATTAGATAAAGACCAACAATTTTCACCCTTGATTAAATTGATGGTTTTTTTTTGTAAATATTCTTTTGTTTGTCAATAGTATAATTCATGCACATAATTTTCAACACGCTTCTTGGTGAACAAAATTGCATGTAGGCAAAGAATACCCGATAACTCTCATTTCTTATAACTACATGACTATTCATTTAAGTCAATTATGTACTAGTCTGTCAAGATTTTTATTTCATATATTCTCTGTGTAGATAATTGTGGCTAATATCTCCCAAACAATTCTTTGTTCTTATCAAGTTTTTTTTGAATCCTTAGACAAATTAATCGTAAATACTTCTCTACAACATTCCTTTCCATATAGAATCTATTCATCATTTTGTGCCTAATTGTTTCACACATTGTCAGAATTGGCTTATCTCTAGTATCTAAAATGTATTTGTTGAAATACTCACACAGATTGTTAAAAAGAATATCGTATTTAAGGATTGTACTAAAAAACCAACTATATGCTTTTGGGTGTTTATCTTTTAGCTTATCCATGATTGCATTGAATTATGGTATATAACATGCCTTTATTGTAGCCCATAGAGCATCTTTTAAAGCTTCCCCTCTGTGGTCATCATTTTGAAAGTTTTATGTAAATGTTTTACATAATATCTATGCTCTGATTTTGGAAATAACCTTTTGAGTGAGGTTTTCAAACCCTATGATAAAAAATAATTGACTAGATGGTACTTGACTTATTACATAATATAATAAATATATAAGTTAAATAGAAGCATGTAATTTGCCTTTTGTTTGTCAAACATAAAAGTCCAATTATATTGATTTTCAATTTTCATATCCTCCATCAAACTTTTAATGAACCAGATCTATGTTTTAATATTTTTAATTTCTACCACAGTATATGCAATAAGGTAAATATAGTCATTAGCATCAACCCTATAGTAGCAAGTAGTTAACCTTCATACTTTTCTTTCAATTGACAACCTTTAACATTAATTATTAGCATACAATAATCAACTCTACCGATATATGCTTTCAGACAAACATACAGTCTTTGGAAGAAATTACAATCTAACTTACATAAAATAGTGGATCCTTAGTTAGTTCTAATTTCTTTTCTATAGCTCTTATCTTAGAACATTGATCTAAATAAGTCCCACTAAGTGTTTTCAAAGCTAATTGTTTTGTTTTTTTATAATTTCGACTTAGGCACAATCAACACGTAGTCTTTGTACACTTGTTTTTTAAATAAAGGCAAATAATAATTTGGCTCAGCAAGAAAACAATCCATATACTTATCTATAAATCACCTATAATCTATATTCCTATTGGCATATTATTTGCAACAAGAATGCTTGGACTTGTAAGTTCTAATATAAAAGGTAAGATCCCCTGGTTCATGACTAAATTTCTTAACATATAATGTCCATCCACACCATTCTTTGTATACAACTCTTAGTTTTAGTTTGTCATTTTTTTAAAACTAATGTTCATCCTATCCTTGATGCTAGCATTTTTCACAACATCTTTTAACTGCTTCTTATCCTTAAACAACATTCTAACATAGAATATAAGATCATCCATGTCAATATTTTAAAATTTAGGCCATTTCTTGCTATCACCATAATCATTGGATCTATTAATACTATAAAAATTATTGTTAGAATTTACTCCTAATTCTTCTGTTTCTTTATCTCCGATAGCTTTACACTTTCAATGTCAGGATTCACATAATTCTCAAATGTCACATCATTTTCATCAAAATCCAAATCATACTCATTATCTTTATAGTTATAGTCCTCACTTTTAGTTTCATTTTCATTAGATTCATTTTTATAAACTTATTATACATTAGGCTCTTTAGCACTGGTACTAGGCTTTTTAGTATTCTAGGCAACATTTACCTTAGACTTTTGGTAAACAACTATACATGTACTTGAAGGCACATGCTCATACATCTCCATCACATTAGCATCTATGGTAATTTGTACTAATCTATGATGTTTAGGAGGTATTTTTTATAAATACACACTAAATCCAATATGCGTTACCATTTTGACATGTAAAGAATTTCAAACAAAGATATTTTATCAATCTCGCACAAGTCAAAATAAGCTATTTCTCCTTTTATACGTTGACTACCTAAAAAGTAACCCCCATGATGCAAAGTTATAATGAAGTAAGAGAAATAATCATATGCCATGCATAAAAGTAAAAAACAATGTTGTAAAAAGTTATAATATAATTAAGGACGAAATTTTAAAAAATAAAATCAACACTCTATTATGGTACAAAGTCATGACATGATCATTAAGCAAGTTGGTTTATTGTTTATAAAGTTGTGACAGAATCATTGAGCAAGTAGGTTTTATTGTTTATGGTACAAAGTTATAACAACATCATTAAACAAGTGGGTTTGATTATTTATAAAGTTTGGACAGAATATGTAAATTGAACATATGTTAATTTGTTTTTAAATGGCAAACAAATGGTTTTCATATAAAAATAAGAATGTTATATAAATGCAAACAAGTGGGTTTATTATATTTCTTGATATTCTATGGTAGGTACCAACAAACCAAATAAGGTTATTTTGACAACTAACTTGAAAAAGTGTATGTTATTTGCTTTGTCAATTAGTGTTGCTTACAAGGCGAGCAAAAAAACTTTAAAACATAAATCATAACAATCCAAGTAAAGAAGTTAAAATAATCAAGCCCTAAAATATAATCCTAAAATAATCTTCAAATCTAAATAAGACTTATAAAAAACCAAAATAATCACTTAAATAATCAACATGAAAAACCTAAAATAATCAAGTTAGAAAATGTAAACTCTAAAATAATCCCCAAATCTAAATAGGAATAATAAACAACCAAAATCATAAATAATGTAAAATTAGCAAAAAAAAAAAAAATCATAACAACCAAAAAAACTAGTATAAACAATGTCACGATCATCCTCTAGCAACCTCTAACCCATGAGATCCTCCTCTTAGAACCTTGAAACCACATGGACCCAGGCGATCCCACCTTGGTCGATCCTCTTTTCCACAATTTCAAATATTTTTTTTCACTTCACAAAGTCCCTTATTTCTAGAGATTCTTTTTACTTCACTATCTCTATCATAGTTTGATAGTTAAAGAGAAAAAAAATTTTTAGTCTTTTGTGTTTTTATCTGGTGTAAGTTATTTTTTTAGTCTTTTATCTTTTATGGGTTTGTATCTTTTATGATTTTTGAGTGGCCATTAAAATTTTTTTACGTAATTATCTTCTTAAAAGTTATGTGTCATATTACATTATATTTTTCATTTATTTAAATGATCTAGTAGATAAAGGATTATATTGGTATACGTTTGGATAATTAAAAATTCAATTAGAACTTTTAAAGTTTAGGGATTAAAATAAAATTTAATCTAAAATTTAAGAACCATAAGTACTACTTACTCTTTTATGAAAAACAAAATTTGTTTACGTGAATGTCATGTGACGTTTAATAATTACGTGTTATTATTACATCAACACTCTATTAGAATATAACGGTTGAAAGATAAAAAAATACTTATTCAAAATTTAGTAGTTAAATTAAAAAATTTTAATAATTTAATGATTATTTGAAAAATACAATCATAATTAAGTGAAAAATGGTATAATTTATTTATTTACAAAAAAGTAAAACAGTAAATTAATTAATCTAAGAAAACGAGCACCAATAATATTATTAAATAAAAGAGTTCTTACTCCATCCTTTAATCGTAATTTCTATAGAAATCTAATGATTATTGACTCACATAAGAAATCAATTTTTAAGGTGTGATATTGATTTTGGATCGGCTCCTTTATTACATTTTTTAGGTGTGATATTGATTTTTAGCTTGATCTAAAATTTTTGGTAGAAAATATTTAAGTGAAACAAAAATTACAAATATCATTTATTTAAATAACTTTTTGAGAATAATTTAATCAATATCGAGTTAAATTACTTTACTTAAAGATTAAAAAAAAAATAGAGAAAAAAACCACATAAATAAAAGTTTAAATGGGCAGGCAGTTATGCAATAATAACAAGTGAAGTTAAAGGGCAAGACCTTAAACATGAAAATATGCTATCTTACATCAGGAGCACGGATGTAAATTAAATTGCAGCATAGAAAACAAAATCAGTTTTTCTTAACATTAAACATTAAAAAAAAAAAATTTCTTATTGTAAGTGTTGGGGTATGATACCAAATTATAATTCAAAGTTTTAAGCCTACCAAGTTTGAAGTTAACAGTGCATAAAGAGAGGCAAAATAACAAAAACAAGGAAGAATAAAGATTAGAAATCAATAAGTAGATCTAGCAATTTTAGACACAAAAAAGTACGTGAAAACGACATGATCTAAAATTTTGACAAATGTGTATGAATTTGAAAAAGACTAAAAAATAAGTTTTGTATTTGATAGGTCGACACATATTATGACATGATAATTTTTGTATTTTACAAGTGTTTTAACACAAAATAAACACGAATATACAAGTTACCCTGATAACAGTAAGCATGAAGGTATGCATTCAGTATGCAAATTCCTTCACCTATAAACCACACTCCTGAAACAATCACATTGAATACTTCGCATTCAATGTGAGAATCTATTTCTCTAGAAGCTATGCTTCTCTCTAGGCAATAGAGTCTCTTCCTTTATATGTCATACTCCTCCCTAAGCAATCAAGAAGCTTATGAGTGAATGAAGAGTGAAAATTTAGATGCTTGAAGGAGCCAATAAATGCAGTAATAATTTAAATCGTTGCTTGTAAAGGAATGTACTAAAAAGTAGGAAAAAATGAAACAAAGATCTAATCTCAATATGAAAAAACAATAATAATAAATAAAGTAAATAGTCTCCCCCTCACCTCTAAACTATCAAGAGATGAAAAAAGAAACCATGTATAAGTCTGTTTCTTTCTTCCAGGCCTTTTTTCTTTTTTTCTTTTATGTCCACAAGAGGTTTAGTTTAGTGACAGTTGCCATATATCATATTCTTGATCCCCAAGCTAGGCAGGTCACCACTACGGCTGCTCTCAAAGGTGGGGGGATGAACAAAGTATTTTTAGTTGTAATCAAAGAAAGTTCCTTTCATTTCCCTCGCAGACGTGATAGGTGAGATGATAAAAAGTCTTTAAGAGAAAATTTCTTTTGCTCAAGTGAGAATAGGAACTCTTTAAGCGAAAACTGATATGTTTTTCCATCGCTTGTTCTATCTGAATCAGAAAGCGAGTTATTACTGGTATCTTCTTTCTTGTCAGCAACAACACCATGCCCGTCTTCCTTTTCCTTTTCCTGTTCAGGAGCAAAACGGCTATAAAACTGCAAAACCTTCGGGTGAGCCTTAATTTTCGAGGGAGAGAAACCAGATAAATGAAGGCCATCTAAGCTTCTCACACGGGAAAGTGCAACATAAACCATGCCACACCCGAAAGCTCTAGAAAGATCAGTATGTATGTGGTCAAGACTCATACCCTGACACTTATGAATGCTTATAGCCCAAGCCAAAACGAGAGGTAATTGCAGTCGACGAGCAACGGGTGAAGATCCTTCCATTACATACCACTTTTCAGGTTCAATAACTATTTCTCGGCCTGAATCAAATTCCACAACCGGCAAAAGATTATCAGGAGTTAGGATCGTGCCATTGCCATCCTTTGTAAATCCAGTGACCGTACCAGTAGCACCATTCACAAATCCACGCCAAACATTCAAATTTTTTATCAGCATTACCCTTGCACCTTTGCACAGTACAAGTTTGTTGGGAGCTAGCCCTAAAGCAAGCTGCCTCCTCCAAGGCTTTTCACCTTCATCAGAAGCCTCATAGATTACCTTTTCCTCAGATAAGGCTTTCATTCTCTCCTCATTTACTTTGTTTACATCATCAATTCTAGGATAGAGTCGCACCACTGAAGGATCAGGCTCAGAAACCGAGCATGATTGTTCTAGAATCTGCAAGTCTTCAGGATCACTGTTGCCTCTCCTAATACCCTGAAGTAATTTAATCAACCTATCTTCAGACTGCCTAAAAATCTTGGAAAGTTCCACCTGTATATCAAAGCTTGAATCCCAACAATCAGCTTCAAACGCAAACTCTTTGCGAGATGGATCTTGCTGCTTAAATATGGGAGGTAACTGAAAAAAGTCCCCACTTACAACAAGCCTAATTCCACCCCACACCTTATCAGAGTCACGAACTGCTTTTGCTATATATTCAAGATTGTCAAACAAATTTGCCTCCACTAAGCTAATTTCATCAATGACCAACACCTGTGCCTTATTCCACCTTATACAAGCCTTCTTATCATTTATAACCCGATTAACCAACATTTCACGATCACCGTCACCAATTCCAATACCAGCAAACGAATGAAGTGTCTGTCCACGAATAGCACATGCTGCAATCCCAGTAGATGCAGTCACAAAAACCCTCGATTTTCCATAAGTCTGTTTCAATAATTTGATTATATGCTTAAGCAAAACTGTTTTCCCTGTCCCTGCAGAGCCAGTAATAAACAAGGATCGGCCACTACGAACATGATCCAACACCTTACTCTGTTCATCAGTCCATTTAAAACGGGCTTTAGGGGTTTTGGAGTTATTCTTCTTGTTCTTATTTCCACTCCTATAACCCTCACGGACGCTGCTATTGCTAAAACTCTTACTGCTATAATTTCTGTACACAGATATTGCATTGGCAAAAAACTTCATACCCATAATTTTTCTCATTCAATACCTTTTCTGGTCCTCGGAAATTTTCTTATACCGTTTTCTCAAAAGTACAAGCTGATTAAACCAAATATGCAGAAGTAAAAATATCATCAGCATGATGAACACACCACCAAAAACAAAATTCGAAAGACCTAAGTCTTGGTATGTAAATATAATGATAAGAAACAAAGAAAATAAAGAAAAGGGCTGCTTACCATTTACTCAAAAACTGGTTTCTTGAATGGATATCAGTGAACCACAAGGAAGAAGGCTCCAGCATAGACAGTTCTATTTTTCAGCTTTCTAGATTGCAGTAGTGTTTAACAACGAACAACATCTCCAGTTTTGGGGATAATTTGAGACTGAAATGATCGAACTTTCAGCCGAGAAGTGGTTTTAGATCTAACTTCACAGGGGCCCAATATGCTTTGCTGCAATGCCAAAATGGGATTGGCCTTTTTAGAACAGAAAGATCAATGGGCTTCAGGTTTTACCTTTTCACGTATTGATGTTTTGCAAAATGAAATTTAGACATGGGCCTTGGTTTTGACATTTTTGTTTCAATTGAAAATTGTGCTGAAAGAAGTTAGCGATGATAAATTTTTTAGTTGAACTTTACTAATCATTAATCATTAAGTTATAAATATCAACAAGTGATTGATTTAATTGATTAAATTTTATCTTCTTCGATAATGAAGTTTTGGATTTGAATTCTATCGGTAGTCGTTTGTTGGGATTATTTTGAATACACGATTTGTAGTCACTTGTCTTAAACTGTCAGGTACGGTATATCTTGTCTTGATTTAAAGAACTTATCAGTCTATCTATCTTAGATTTTTCTTACAAAAAAATCATTAAGTTATAAATTAAGGAAATTAGTAAAATTACATAATTATAAATTAACAATGACATGTACATTTATATGTCACATAAAAATAGGCTATTGGTAAATGGTTTTTTTCAATAATAGCTAGGGTTTTTCTTGATGATTCCAATCACCTTGCAATTTGGGTGGCTAGAGGTTTATATAGAATCAAAACTTTATTTTTGATTAATTTGTTCAAATAAAAAAGGTTTTAGCCTTAATTGATTGTTTTTAAGATTTTAGAGTAAAAAATTAGTTCGAAAGAATGGTTTTTTTTTTCAAGTTAATAGTACTTGTTATTCCTAATCTTTAAGCAATATTTTATTTTTGTTTTTAATATTTAAAAAGTTTTAATTAGATCATTAATTGTAGATATCAAATTTATCCGGTTTTGATCAAATTTGCTAATAAAATAATAATATTATTAAATACAATAATAATACAAAAAAATACAAAAAAAAGAAAGAAAAAAGATAAACAAAAAATACAAGAAAAGGAAAAAACAAAGCAGGGGGTGCCTGGTGTCGTGCATGCAACAACCTCTATGAGGCCCTGTGCCACTTACCCAAGCACAAGGCCAAAACCAAATAAAACAAAAGAAATAAGAGGGGCAGAGAGGTTGGTGCTATGGCACCCCCTTTCACCAAACCTTGTGCCACCTACCCAGGCATAGGGCCACAGCGGGAGCTCTATAAATAGAGCTCTTAGTCAACCCCAAAAAAGACAAAGAGAAAGGGAAGGGGATTCTAAAAAAAAAAAAAAAAAGTTTTCAGAATAAAAAAAAAATCTTCCTGCCAAAGAAAAACCATTTAAACAAAAATCACGGTCATTGTCGAATCGACGAGGAATCTAGCGCCAAGCAAAACCTGTAAAAATAAAAAAAATAAAATAGTTAGTTTTAGTTAAAAAAAAAAGGGAGGAGACCGAAACTTTAAGCTCAATCTACGTCAATTGGGGTTGTTTTTGATGAAAAAGAGGTCGGATCCGACGAGATGGGGTTGAGGGAAACATTTTGGTGTTTTTTTGATATTTTTTGATGATCGATCGCGACCACTGACGGCAGCTGGAGAGACGGATAATGATCGATCGACTGGTTTAGAGAGAGAGAGTAGGGAGAGAGGGAGAAGAGAAAATGAGAGAAAGTTTTTTTTTTTTTAGCTTTTCTAGAAAGCTGAAAGTTAAAACGACGTCGTTTCATTAAAGGGTCAAAACGATGTCGTTTTGAGTCGAAGAATCTGCGCGTCAGCCTGCGACCAGACCTAAGATCCGCGGACTAGACCTGACGGCCTGATTTTCATTTAACCTCTGATTGGTCTAACTGAACCCTACACAAACCGAGACGGACATGCCCCAAACCAAGTCGGACATGCCCCAAACCACTGAACCCGATCAGACCGTCTAACCGTTCGGATCGATATTGATCGGATTGTTGATCGATCCAGTTTAGGTGATTTTTTTTTTTAGTTTTTTTTTATTTTTTTAAATATTATTTTTGTTATTTTCAATTTTATTATTAATATTTATGCATATTAAAATGTTTAAATTTGCTAGAATAAATTTTTGTTGTTTTATAATATTAATAAATAAGAATAAATAATGAAATATATAGTAAAAATTTATGATAATTTTTTTTAAAAAAAATCTTATAAAATAATTAAAAAATAATTAAAAAAATAAGAAAAATAAAATTTTATCCGACGATGAGATTCAAAGGTATTCCAAGTAGTGATACGTATGAAATCTCTAGGTGAAAAGATTTTTTTTAAATACTACCAGTGTATTGGAGTATTTATTAAAAAATTTTTAATATAATAAAAAATTTTTTGGTTATAAAATAATAAATAAAAATTAATTAATAAATTAAAAAATGTCATAAAAATAAGAAAAAATAAAATTTTATCCAATGAAGGGATTCTAAAAGTATTTCGAGTAGAGATGCTTTAAGAAATCTTTAGGTGAAAAGATTTTTTTTAATATTACTAGTGTATTAGAAGTTTTTTTTAATAAAAATTTTCAATATAATAAAAGTTCTTCTTTTCTTCAAAGTTTTAACAAAAAAATTAATAAAATTTCTAAAAAAGAGAATAAAATACATGCATTAACATATTGCATTGCATGTATGGCATAGTTTTTTACGAAAAATAAATTTGAGTCTCCGAAGATGAGATCCTAAGGTATTCCGAGAAGCGATGCCTAAAAAATCTATAGGTAAGAAGGAGTTCTTCTAATGTTACCAACGTATTGGAACATTTTAAGAATTATTTCAATAAAAGAGTTTTGATTTATTTTTCTCAAATAAAATTTGAATAAAAAATGAAACAATAAATAAAATCAAATAACAAAAAAATTTCTTTTCAATAAACAAAAAAAATTAAGAAAATTATTTTTTAAACATCGAAAATAAGATTATTTTTATCAAAATCAATGGATAACACATAGTTAATTTGTACTGTTTTAAACGGGCGCTGTGGGGGTGCTAATCCTTTCTCATACGTAATCGACTCTCGAACCCAGATTGTTCTGCAGACCATAAAATTATCTTTTAAATAAATTTTAATTAATTTTAAGATTTCATTAAAAGGATATGTTTTAATAGGTGGCCAATCACACCTAGCCAGAAAAGATTAGTGGCGACTCTATTTTTTTTTATTTTTTGTTTTCAAATTCGTTGGGCGATTTCAAAATTCACACATATTTCTTTTACTATGCCTCTTATGCTTTATTTTTCTGTATATGTTACTTTCAATAAATTAGAATATATTTGCACACACAATAACACGATGCATTTCATACATGAGCTTTATACCGGGGCTCTATCCCTTATAGGAGAAAGTAGAGTACCTATGCCCTTGTGAGGTGATAACCTCCACAATGGCAAATGAAATACTTTCATTCAAATTGAAACATTTCCATCCGTAGCTTGAATGGGTGAGGATCGATGTGCCTCACCAGTCTAGCGTGGATGACAATGAGGAATAATTTAGGAACCTTTAGACACATGTCAATCCAAACTCAGCATGTAATAAGCCTAGGAAATTAGCCTTAGCTAGAGCCTCGTCCACCTTATTGTAGGAAATACCTAAGAATAAAAGTTGTGCACTACAAAACAAAACAAAAAATTTTTAAAACTCAAAAAAATGTTTTTCTCAAACTGCATCCTCACACTAACTCAATTTTGTTTCATTTTCTTTTTCTTTTTTGCATTAATCATATCATATAGTTTTGCATCGAGATATTTGCTCTAGGACATATTTCTCCTAAGAAGTTTTCATGGATCCCATAAAACTACAAATTTGCTCATTCTCAATCAGTGTCCTATGTGAGTCGTATAATGAAGTACATGTTTGGTCGAAAGTAGCCTAACAAAAGAATAGAGATTGCTTGCCTATCGACTATGTGTCTGAGTTATCCAAAAAGGTATATTTGGATCTCACACAAAATGATTTAGAAGACTTAGCTGCTATCTGGGGTCAGTTAAGTGAAGAAAAAAAAAGCTTTTACAAGAAGTACAAGTAAATTGCATCCCTCATTTCAGTAGTGATCGATGAACAGCTAGTCAGGGCAGCTATATAGTTTTGAGATCCATCCTATAGATGCTTCACTTTTAATCAAGAAGATTTGGTGTCAACTATTGAAGGGTATTCGATTTTGCTTGGAATAGAAATACAGTGTCTAGATAAAGTGTTTACTTAAAAGTTGAAATCAGATTATCGTAAAAAGTTAGCTAAGCTTATGAGGGTTAAAGTGGAAACCATTGATTCATTCGCAAAGCTTAAATATGAACATCTTGGCATCTGTTGAGACTTTTTTGAAACTTCATTCAAGGGCATTTAAATGATGATCAAGGTATGACTGTGTGTGCTCTAGCATTGTATGGCATGGTAGTCTTTTCGAAGACTTTGGGTTACATTGAGATAACTGTGGTAGACCTTTTTAAGCAAATTAAAACCCAAGCAATTAATCTCGCTCTAGCAGTCCTAGCTAAAACTATCAAGTCATTGAATTTTTATCGATGGAATAGAAAAGGACAGTTCATACGATATGCATAACTATTATATGTATGAGTCAGAAGTCACTTTAAGTATGAGAATAATGCATTTTCAAAGCCATATCTACGAAACAAGCACCAATCGAAGAGTTCTGTAAAAGTCGATGGCCAATATTAAAGACTAAATAAGAATGGGTCCTTTTCTTACGAAAGCTTACCAATGATGAAATTGAATGGATGGTGCCTTGGATGCCTCATATGCCTTTATTGTATCGTGAAGGAAACGAGTCGTGGATACCACTGTTAGGGTTATGAGGTGTTGTAAGTTACACTCCGTTGATGGTATATAGGTAATTTAGTGCAAAGCAGTTTGTTCCTGCTATTCATGGCCTGGTTCAGGTAGAATTCATTTACGGGGAACCAAATTCATCAAGAACCTTGGAGCAGTTGATTCAAGCATGAAAGAAAACATGAAGAATGAGATTAGAGCCTCTTATCGACAAAGTCACCCCTGGTTATCAAATTTGAAAAGTAAAATAGCTTAGAGACATAATACTTTATCCTGATGACAGCTCACATTAATCGACTAATCTTTCAGTAGAAGTGC